TAAAAACAAATGGCCAGTGTGATCAAGCGCATCATCCCTCGCTCCCTCCTCTTCCTCACTACACTGAACAAAACAAAAGAAGTTTTGTCTCCTGAACGGCCGATTGTGAAGAACCACCTCCGCACTTTTACTCCCCCCTCCTCCTTCCGCCAGCTCCCCACAAAAAGGCTCCCAGGACAGCAGAGCAGACAGAGTGGGTTCATAAAGTCAGGCTTTGCAACTTTTCTATTGGCCCGACAAGGGCCCATGTAAACACAGTGTTGGATTGCCTCAATTTCTAATACACGGCTACCTCTCAATGGTTTTTTTTCTCCCTGTGGTCTGTGCTGGCCCATGCAGGGATTATATTTGCAAGCCTCTTTGGGGATGTAGGAAAGTGGGCAAAAAGAGGAAGGAGACATGAAACATGAAGGAGAGACTTCCAAGAACACAAATAAACATGTGTGCTGGGATTTTAATCATAAAGTCAAGCATCACATATATGCGAGTCAATTGCTTATCGTTTCCAAGAAGCAGGATGACCTCCATCCTGGATTTTTACACTTGGATCTACTGTATTCATGGCTCAAACAGCTGCAAGCACAAAATATGTTTTAGAATTATTTACTATTTCGTGATGATAAAAGTTTTTTCTATATTCTAGTAGATTACGTTTCTTTTTGTGCTTTTTTTTTCTTTAAGGTTTGGGTCAAATTTTAAGTATGTCACTTTTGATATATGTCATACAATCCCATGGCAATTGCAGATGGAAAAGCTAAGAAGGGAGGGCCCATTTTGTGTCATATTCCATCTGTTGTAACCTGAAGGAAGCTGTGAGCCTCAAGCTGCTCTCCGAAGGGAGGGGTCAGAATTGGAAACAGGAAATCACTGCAGATTACAACATCTTCAGAGGAGTGGGAAACATCTAAGCAAACCGAGGAATGTTTGTGGAAATGCCTTCCTAATGTGATGAAATTTTATTCAGACGAGTCTCCTTCACTGCGGTATTAAGTATTCTTGTCAACTATGACAGTCCATCTCTGTAAACTTAACTAGAAATGTATGGCTGGTGATACATTGAGAAGTGTAAATGCTTTTAAATCCAGGTTCAAAACGATCCTTTATTCCTCATAACTTTGATTAAGGTCTTTTGAGCATTATATCAATTTCATTGTCAGCAATTTTTGTGTCCCAGCTTTGCTTTTCAACTCGATCATAAATGTGTTTAATTTTTGTCAATGCATGTTCTTTCCATAATTCTTAGAAAGCTACTTCTGTTCTCTCTAAATTGGCTTCAGCTTTTTGTTTGAAGGTGTTTTTCGGTGTTGTGCTTTTGATTGTGTGAAGCACATTGAGTTGCCTTGTGTATGAAATAAGCCAATGTAAACATTCGAACTGAACCTTTTGTCCATTTTCTTTTTTTAACGTTCCACCGCTGATATATACCGGTACATATGGCGAATCTCAACTCTGGTCTAGGTGAAGTACTCCGGCTCCCTCCAACATTCTAAAAACTTTCCTGTTACGTCAAATGAAGACTCAAAATTGCACAATGGCGTCAATCTGAGTGTGAAACGAACGTGACCCACGATGCCAAGCAGGCCCGGGTGTATGCCGCCTCTTAGGCAAGCTCAGCAACCGTGATCCTCATGAAGACAAACACTATAGAAAGTGGACTGACGGATGATTGAATACCATCTCACCTGCATATGACTCTTTAAATTCTTCACCTCTGCCTGGAGATGTTTCAGCATTTCTGATGGAGGAGAAATGTCAGACAATGTCACATCAATACAAAATTAAAGGTCAAAGAAACATTTTGCCCTTCTCGATGCAAGAAAATAATGAGCCTGTGATGGAACAAGAAAGCCGCACAAATCTTTTGCAGGTCTTACCTATGACATCCGTGGGCCCATCATGACTGTCAGAGGTCCCTAATGTTATCCGGCACTCGTCCAATAACCTCTCCAGCTCCTTGGACTGGACATCTCTGGCCTCTGGACCTGGCGAGAAAGGCTGACTCAGGCTGCCATCCCTTTCTCTCCATTTTGGCCCGGAAGAGCTGCTCACAGCCAGCGAGGAGCTACACGTAGACGATGGGCTCTTTGTAGGGCTGAACGGCGCACACTTGCCCTGTGCAACCACAGTCCGAGGCGTAGAAATAGAAGGAGTCCCATTTCTGCCGGAGGTAATGTGTCCTTTCACTGCTAATGTACTTTCCGGCTTGGTTGACACTGGATTGACTGCCGAGACAGCTGCCGAGCTCTCTGAGTTGAGCCGTGGTGGAGGAGGCCTCCACTCAGGTGGAGGAATGGCACAGCTTGGCTGCGATCGCTTAACGCTGGAGAATGCGAGCACCGAGACAGGAGGTGAAGACGGAACTGCACTGGGAGATTTCGGTGATATGGTGGGGAGGAGCCTGGGGGCACCGAGTACAATTCCAGGTTCGTCACTTTGTGGAGAAGCAGGAGGAGTGTGGAAACTATCCAATTGGTTTCCTGGAGGAAACAATCACAAATTCAGCAGTATGTCAACATCTTCTCATGGTAAAACCAGTATCGGTGTTGCTAACTAATTTTACAGAGAAGGTGGGTGTATTTGTTGCTAAAGATTACTAAATGATGAAGATAACTCAATAGATATCTCTACACGTGGGGCATGACACGATTCAGGAATGCTACATTTTCAAGTGGAACGATTCAGTGGTATTGTGATTCATCACAGCAGACGATGTACCGATCAGCCTGTCAATCTCCGTCTCCATCCTGCCCTCACTCGTCAACAAGAGAGCAAGAGAACAAGATCCAGAGATACTTAAATTTTGGGTAAGATCCCATCCCCAACCTGGAGAGAGCACTCCACCGTTTTCCGACTGAGGACCATTGTTTCAGATTTGGGGGTGCTGATTCTCAGTCCAACCGCTTCACACTCGGCTGTGAACTGCTCCAGTGAGAGTTGGAGATCCCGACTTGAAGAAACAACAGCACTACATCATCTGCAAAATGCAGAGGTGCAATACCGAGGCCACCAAACCGGACACCCTCAATGCCTCGGCTGTGCCTAGAAATTCTGTGCATGAAGGTTATGAGCAGAATTGGTGATAAAGGGTAGCCTTGGCGGAGTCCAACCCTCACTGGGAATGAATCCAACTTATTGCCGGCAATGCGAACCAAACACTCACATCGGTGGGAAAGGGACCGAACAGCCTGTATCAGTACTTTCGATACCCCATACTCCTGAAGCACCCACCCCCACAGTTTATATACATGAACAGCAGAGGATTGGACTGCCAAGGTCCTCGTCTTTGGCTGCCGCCCAGTTCACTTTGCACCCGATCTCTTTGGCCCCTCCCATAGGTGCTGAGTCCATGGGAAGGGGGACCCACGTTGCTTCTTCGGAGGTGGGGCTCGCCAATCAGTCCCACCTCAAGGCCTCGCTCCAAAAGGAGGCCCCGGTGACCCGCCTCCGGGCAGAAGGTTATGAGCAGAATTGGTGATAAAGGGTAGCCTTGGCGGAGTCCAACCCTCACTGGGAATGAATCCAACTTATTGCCGGCAATGCGAACCAAACACTCACATCGGTGGGAAAGGGACTGAACAGCCTGTATCAGCGCGTTCGATACTCCATACTCCCAAAGCACCCCCCACAGTTTATATACATGAACAGCCGAGGATCGGACTGCCAAGGTCCTCGTCTTTGGCTCCCGCCCAGTTCACTTTGCACCCGATCCCTTTGGCCCCTCCCATAGGTGCTGAGTCCATGGGAAGGGGGACCCACGTTGCTTCTTCGGAGGTGGGGCTCGCCAATCAGTCCCACCTCAAGGCCTCGCTCCAAAAGGAGGCCCCGGTGACCCGCCTCCGGGCAAGGGAAAACACCGTCCACTATTTTTGGTCACCATCAGAATTGCTGAGCCGTGCTTTGTCTGGTCCCTCACGTAGGATCTGTTTGCCATGGGTGACGCTACCAGGGACATAAAGCCCCAGACAACTTAGCTCCTAGGATTATTGGGACACACAAACCCCTCCACCACGGTCAGGTGACGGCTCACGGAGGAAATGCCTCAGCCCATTCTTTGTATTTGCTTCCACACTTTTGAAACAATAGTACCAAACCTCCAGGCTAAAATCTTTCAAAATCAGTGTTCTCAAAAAAAAACACATCCACATTAAACATAAAGCAATACTTTTAAGAAATGGAGTGTGAATACAGTTTGAGTGGAGTGGGAAAAAAACAGATGACAATGGCCAAGTGAGTGTCTTTTGAAACAATAGTACCAAACCTCCAGGCTAAAATATTTCAAAATCAGTGTTCTCAAAAAAACACATCCACATTCAACATAAAGCAATACTTTTAAGAAAGGGAGTGTGAATACAGTTTGAGTGGAGTGGGAAAAAAACAGTTGACAATGGCCAAGTGAGTGTCTGCATCATCGGGAGATGATGTCATGGAGGAATGATGGGACGAAAATATTTTAATGGTCACTCCTCTAATCGTAACTCTTTGGTGTCCGCAGGGTCATTGAATTTCGCTTGGCCCTCAGAATATGCCACAAATCACTCACCAAGACATACAGATACACACTGAGCACTAAGCAGATCTCCTTGTCCTTCTTTCTTCTTCTTTTTAAGACAAAAGCATCATGGCTTGTTTAAAAAAAAGGGGGATTTACTTTTAAATGACGTGAAAGCGGCAACTATGCAGGACAAATCACTCACCAAGACATACAGATACACACTGAGCACTAACCAGATCTCCTTGTCCTTCTCTCTTCTTCTTTTTAAGACAAAAGAATCATGGCTTGTTAAAAAAAAAGGGGATTTACTTTTAAATGACGTGAAAGCAGCAACTATGCAGCAACTCAGCAACTCATTGGGAAAGAATGGGAGGATTGTTTAATAACTTCCTCAAGCCTCCCTTCCCTTTTTATTTCTTCATTCTAGACGTAAATGTGTTCGTCCATCCATGTACATGGGTGGCAGATTGACTGAATGAATGTGTGTGTGTGTGTGTGTGTGTGTGTGTGTGTGTGTGTGTGTGTGTGTGTGTATACGTGCATATAAAAAGGGTGTGTGTGTGTGTGTGTGTGTGTGCGTGCACGTGCATATAATAAGGTTTGTGTGTGATTGAGCGTGGATGTCAGATAGCATTAAGCCTCAATGATTAATCCGCTGCCCTTGTGCTAAACCGGGGAATTCTGCCGATTCATCACAGCTGGGCCAAATGGATCACATGGGGACGCGGGGAGAATGACCACTCGCTGAGCAACACACAGGAGGGCGGCCAAGATTCCTGCCTCCGCATGCACAGCCGTTCCACTTGTTTCCCCTTTTGTAACCTTCCTCATCCTGATTGGCCATTACGTATCCTTCTCTCCAACTTTTGCACAGGGTCAAAACATGTAGCGTGTGTCAGTGACCCACCGGTGAGTCCATGGCTCTCCTTGCTGGAAAAGCTGCCCATCCTGCAGAAAGTCTGGCCACAGAAGGGCCTTGCTGGTTCTTGCTGCTCTCCTGCCCAGCCCAGATCAAAGTGGCGCTTTAGATGACCTGCACATGCGGCACATATGGATGATGGATGAGGTCCTATCTCTTTGGTAAAACAACCCAGTACTGTAACTTCAAGCCTCTTTAAAACATTTCTAAACTGAGTTCCTACTTATTATAGTGACCTTCACACGTGACTGGTGCTTCTCATTACAATTTTAAAAGCAGAGATCTTATCAAGGAAGAGATCAGAGCAATTGCACGTGTTTAAGGGAGGGATGTCCAAACTTCCATTGGGTCAGACAAAAATGGAAGGCAGTGGGGGCTGCTTCATACCCAATTTAATACACTGCAGGTTATCATATGATAAGCAGTTAAAAATGATGAAAGAAAACAAAGTCCAAATCTCAGTTTGGAGCTACTGGTGCCAAAGCAAAAAGTTATTAGTAAAGGTGTGACTAAACTCTCATCAACATATGTGTGAATTTATCATGTTCTACATTGCAAATAAATGTATTTAAACTGAATGTTTAAAATGAAAAACAGATTATAACAAAAGCTTCAATATCAATAACTTGCATTTGTTAGGTTACAAAAACCGCGTGCTTTATTATTTTGCGGGTGAAAAAATACATAAATATACCCCGCAAAATATAAATATAATCCCAAATACAAATATACCCTGCGTAAGACGCAAATATACCCCGGGCCGGCAAACATTCCTGGTTTAAAGCATTTCAATGAGATACTGCAATCAATGTGCCAAATCTAGAGCATGCGTGGACACGTATAAAACAGAGTAGTTTAAACCATTAAGATAATTGAACAAATTCAACTTCTGTCAAGTGTGTGACAAGTGTTGAAAAGTAGCGCTTAACCAATCTACTTAAGGGAAAATAGCATGCCACTACTTAGATATTAAATGGACACAAACCCTTGAAAGCAGACAAAGTAATCCAAAAATCCGTTTAGTTGGTAGCGTCCCGACGAAACTTCCACCAGCGCGTCTTCACCAGGCGCACTGCCTCGCCGATTCTTCTTCAAGTTTCTACATCGACTTTCTTGAAACACATTTTAATTCCGGTTAGGTTTTTCAGAAGAATCCTAACATGAAGTTAACACGTCCGTGGGGCGAGAAGACACGCTAAAACGATGTAAAGCGAGGGGTGCCTGTGAGGATTTCCGCTGTTTGCATCCACCAGAGGGCGGAGAGGAACTGCCACTGCTCCCAAAAAAAAAAAAAAA